TACAGTAGAGCCTCGATTATCCGACCCAATTGGGGACTGGGGTTGGTCGGATAATTGAAAAGTCGGATAACCGAAAAGTATAAAAAAATCCATTATTAGTGTAGTATATTATTATATCCCATGTAATTAGTATATTAGTATATTGCTATTAACCGACTTCGCGTTGAATTTTCATCGATGTTAAGCCTAACAAAACTTTTTAAAATAATAGTCGTCGCTATTGTATCGTTAAAAATTAGAAAATTAAGCCTTGTTTAAATACTGGCTCCCTTTCATGGTCGAATGAGTGTTGCCAGCTAAAACACATAAAAATAATATTAAAGTAGCCGAGACATAGTTAAATATTGTAGCGCCACATCACTAGCGGACATTTGAAATTTGCCGACTATGACAGTCGGTTAATCGGGGGTCGGATAATCGAGGTTCTACTGTATTAAAACAAAAGTAATCAAGATGGATGCATTATTTTTCTAAGAGAGATAAATACATTGTATGGAGGAACTCTGGTGGTGCATGGGTGCTGTTAGAGTTCTTTCAAAACACCACAGTGTGTGACTTCAAGTCTCTATATCCATAGCTTAAGATGCTTTTGTAAATGAATAATTCTTTTATTATCTGTATTTACTTCTTTACACAATTATCAGAATATTCCACAAACTTCTGTTAATAATAGACAAGTTTTCAAAGTTGTTACAAAAGATGTACATACTTTGTCTCTTCATCCAGGTCCTGGTAGTCTTTTCACCTCCTCATTTAAGTCGTATAGCTTTTGAGGATGTGCAATTAAGTTTAAAGCTACTATTATGTTCTAATATTTTATATACAAAGTATAAAAATTATATCATAAAGTATACTGTAGTTTTAAATAATGTTGCAATTTTGTGTATCTAGAACAGAGGTTTTCAGAAAACATTTTTCTAGGGTCTTGCATGTGCTAAAGAAAGTGACTGCACTTGTGTGAAAATGTAATTATAGCATTCACATTCCTTAGTGTTTAGGATTTTATTATTCAAAATGATGGATATTTTAGAAATGAAAAGTTTCAAAGTTGACAGTTAGAATGTCACTGGTAGCTACATACAATTTTCTGATGGCTTAATATGAGACTCCCTAGCCTAAAAGTACTAATTGTTTGATATATTATCTAAAAGTAAAATGTTTGATTCTTATTTTTTTTTTTCAAAATGAAAAAGGAAAGACTGTGCAACATACACAAATGTACATAAACACATTACAGGTATACCTCGCCTTACGTCGGTAATTGGTTCCAGGAGAGGTGACGTAAGTTGAATTTACTTGTCTCCAAATCTACTTGTCACTAGGCTAAACCATAAATTACCATTCTCAGTTCTGTATTTTATTTATTAATGCATTTTTAATAATATATGGTTAATGAGGATCTATTTTAAGCTTACAAACAAATAAATTTTAGTTTTTAATATAGTACAGAAAAAAGTAATCTAAATTTACGAATGCATATACTGTAAATACAGTACATACTTGTAAATGTATGTACTGTATTTTAAAGCACATAAAATCATATTAAAATATGATTTTATGTGCTTTAAACACTTTTCTAGTGATATTACAACTTTAATATTTGTGGCAGACAGACGTAAAGTCCAATAAAATGACTTAAACTTGATTTTTATCTTTCCATATACTTTTCTGAGAAATGACGTATAATCAGGAACGACGTAACTCGAAACGACGTAAGTCGAGGTATACCTGTATTAAATTTATTATTATTATTAATCTTCTGACTAATTTTTTGAATTATCATATAGGTTGGTATAGTTAAGGACATTTTAATTAAATCTGAAAAAAATCTCTCTAAAATTCTGTCAACTTATATAGTATGAATGTAAATCTTTACCACAGAATGATGAACTAATGGAACACACTTAGCAATTCCTGTGAATTAGTTACTGTAATTCCAATAGGCTGCCACAAATATTTCTGAGTATAAGTCATGTTTAGTGAACTTATTTAACATAGAGATGATATTGACTTTTCATTATTTAAACAAATACTACATCACACACAGCACTGCATTATATTATGAATTTGATTCATCAAACATACTATAGCACTAAGTATATATACTCACAGCTGGTTCTGGTAGGTGTGCAATGTGTGCATGCATGCAGGCAGCTGATAGTGCACGTTAAAAATAAAATTGAAATATTATTTTAATATTGTGGTTGGCAATGAAATAGATTGATGTTTGCATGACAATTGATGCATTTTATGGATATAAATAATGACAAACTATGCATATTAGGTGTTTTACATTAGAAATTTTGAAAGTGCAAGCAACAGGTGATGGGGGATTCATCCATTAAATCAGAAAAAAATTTATCAGNATAATAATAATAAAAAAAGACTGGCTTATTAGGAGAATTAAAGAAAACTTTTTTTCAACTTCCTTATTATTTTTTATTAAGCAGCTATCTTCAGGAACTGAACATTTAAAAGTTATAGATGAAATATAAAAACTAACTACTATAATTTTCTGCAAATAATATATGGGTTATCTGTCAGTTTGAATGCAGATGTGGGCTTCAAGTTTAACTTGCAACTCATCCAATCATCCAACAGTTTTTAATTTCATTTAAGTTTATCAAAACCATTGTTGAGAATGTAAAAATTCCTTTGCATGTCTCAGACAATCATTGCCTTTACAATTTTTTCTTAACTACCAAAGACATGTATACACTTGCATCATCATTAGTTATTTTCTATTCATTTTCTGTGCATCATTGCACTCTAATTGATATTATTAGATGCTTCTACTTGAACTTGTATTTTGAAAGCTGATAAACTTTTAAAAGGTATCTCAAAAGATCCCAAAGATGGTCACCTTTTAATTCTTTTGTCTGTAGAGCTTTCACTCATATCTCTGAACCATAGGAAAGGCTACAGGAATTTCTCACTATCATCAGTCAGCCTGTCCAACATGGATTCTGTAGGATGATCATTAAAGGGTTAATTGAACGTTGGATATGGTATGCACAGACATAGCAGTACAGTAGAGCCTCGATTATCCGATCCCCGATTAACCGTCACCTCGGTTAACCGACCGTCCTAGTCGGCAAATTTCAAATGTTCGCTAGTGATGTGGCGCTACAATATTTGGTTATGTCTTGACTACTGTAATATTATTTTTACGTGTTTTAGTTGGCAGCACTGAATCGACCATGAAAGGGAGCCAGAGGCTTAATTTTCTAATTTTTAACGATACAATAGCGACGATTATTATTTTAAAAAATTTTGTTAAGCTTAACATTGATGAAAATTCAAGGGGGAGTAGGTTAATAGCGATATACTAATATACTAATTACATGGGATATAATAATATACTACACTAATAATGGATTTTTTCATACTTTTCGGTTATCCGACCTTTCAATTATCCGACCAACCCCAATCCCCAATTGGGTCGGATAATCGAGGCTCTACTGTACTTACAATCCTCCCCATTTGGAAACATACAAGGTTGTAACATACAATGAATGCAGTTCTTGCCCATCTATAAAAAGAGATAACTGAAACAATAACATCAACCTGGCATTCAAAAGGAGTCCCAATGTATTTTCACTCCTCATAAATGCCAAAGACCCAATACTGTAATCTGGCAACACTTGCCAGAGTTATACTTCACACCATAAATCCAACAAAGAATTAGAATATGGGAGCCACTGCCAGACAAATTGCCTCCTTAAAAAAACACTGATTGGACATATCTAAGGGCCTCTACTTCACCACTCTATTATCATAGGCTATGGACCCTGACATGGAGGTCCATTTGGATAGGACCAGGATTCTCCATCAAACATCTAATAAAGCACAACTCTGCCATCTTGAACTGATGGAGATAGATAAGGCAGTTTTGAAAAAGGCCATCAACATTAAAGCTGTTGACACTTCCCCAATGAACAAAAAGGATACCTCCATTTACCTTAAACATAGACATTTACATATTAGAACTGTTTCCACCAATCAGCTGGCAGCCAAATATAAATATCAAAAATAGTGTGGTTATTTTTTAGAACTTTAGTCTGAGGATATTCATTTAAAATTGATGGTAATGTTTGCTTTGCCAGTGAATGGTACTTTTCTTGGTTTTTAGTTTATTGAGTTAGGTGTTCTTAGTGTGATATTAACCAGTATCAAGCAGTCATCATGTGGTAATTTCCTCCTATCTAATAAGTCTCAGAGAACTGTTTAGAAGATGACTGTTGATTTTATTGTATGCTAATTCTTTATAGCCAATAAGGGATAAACAATTAACTTATTTAATTAGATATTATTGACATTAAAATTTTTTCTGTTTAGGTTTTTTGAGTTTATTTTAGCATTAATAATAAAATAATAATAATGATGATATTATGATTACTTTTAAGTTTTATAATTCATAAAATATTTTTATAATTCATAAAATGTTTTATAATTTATAAGTTTTAATTCATAAAATATTTATTTTATGAATTAAAACTTATAAATTCTAATTTTTAAACTATTTAAATAAATGTAATAAGAAAGTGAATTTCTGTTTTTTTTTTTTTTTAAATTTAAGTTTAAAAAATTAAAAGATGTAAAAAGAAAAACTGAAATTACTAGTTATGAAATTAGACTTTTGAGATAAGATTAGCAATATGTACCTTTAATGTTATGAAAACATTCATATTAAAATGTATTAAAAAGTAATTTAATGTTTTATATTAGCATAAAACTGTTTTTAATAAAAGAGAATTATACTTATTGAATTTATATTGTTACAGCTGATAGTATGTTTAACATTACCAAGAATTTTAAATTAGGCTTTGGATCATTTATTGATAAAGTAGTTATGCCATATGCTTCAATGGTACCAGCTCGGTAAGCAATATTTGTTTAAAATTTATATTTATTAATTTTTATGCAATGTTTTTATCTCCACTTATAGTTTTATTATTATTATTGCTGTGTTTAGTGGGTTATACTCGATTCACACTGGTAGCTGTGTATTATGCCGGACCAGAGTCAAGGCATAGCACCCAAAATAAAACTAAAATTAAATAAGTGTGTTTGTGCCAGTGTCTGTATTAAGGAATTTCCTAACAATATGGCATATGCTGTCATGTTTGTTTCAAGTTTTGTGATTGTGTAGTAAGTACGGATGATAAAGTTGTTCATTTCTGATGTCCATTTCATCCGTTGGCATGGTTTTCCAGCCTTTGTGGTCTGTGGATGCATTGCCACAGAAACACCAAGGCTAGGTTGATTCCTCACATCTGTTGAGGGCATTGCAGTAGCCATGCTTGGGCCAGTGTTGCTTGAACCTGCCATAATAATTAGAAGAAGAAGAAAGTCCAACTTCAACTTTCCAGCATTCATCTTGCATTCTCCAAGTTTGATTGACAGAGGTATTGTCATTATTTTTAACTGATTGTAAACTCTCTCTCTTGCACTTAGAGGTGTATTTTATATAGGCTCAATTTACGATAGTTTGTATTGTGTATCTCGATTTATATATTTCTTTGTTATATTTCATTCATTAATTCCTTTTTGTTATTTCTTAACCTGTCTGATTCCCTCTGTTAGTTAAGTATGGACATTCATCCTGCTATGATTGGAACTCTATTGCTATGGATAGAATATAGCCCTCTATTTAACATCTAGATCATAACATTGCAAGTTAGGGTGCAAAATTTCTATTCTAGCTGGACTGACACCAGCTAGAATAGAAATTTTGGACATTGGAAGGATCCTACAATCCCCACGACATTCTATAAAAAGCCATCCTTCGACGAAGTGAGCGAGTCTTAACAACCTGACGAACCAAAAGGGTTATGAGTAACATTCTCGGCTCTCTGTAGTCTCACAGTATAAAGATGATGTTTATAACCTATCTGTTATATCCCACTTTAGTTTTATATTTCTTTGTACAACCTTCAGGTAGTGAGATAGATTGACAAGCCTCTATAATCATCTAAATCATCAGAACCATTTCTCACTTCTTCCATGCACATTGTAGGAAGTGTGAAATTTATAACCACAAGTGTTTAAATAGCAGGACTCCCTCTCTTCTGCCTGGAAATATCTCCTTAAGCTTTTGCATCAACTATTGCTGTTGTAGTTCACTTTCCCTTGCTTGTTCACTCTACCCTGTCTTTTTTTTTAATTCACAATGGCACCAACTTTCATTTTTGCATGTTTGAAATGGCCATTAACTAGGTAGAAAATAGCATTTCTTCAACTTCACCCACTGTTAAAGATATATTGATTAATTCAGCAGATTAACTACAGTTCATTTTTATTACATTTTATTTAATAGTAATAAAGTTTTCTGAAATGAAGTTAATTAATTTTAGATTGAAAAATCCTTGTGGAGAAGACTTTTCTTGCAGTTCACCATATGGTTTTCGTAATCATCTCTCATTAACAAATGATGTTCGTGAATTTATTGTAAGTAATCTTTCTATTTTATTATTAACTGTGTAATCAATTTATAATGTAAGAAATTTATTCCTATTCATAAACAAAAACTAATACTACTGTATTCAAATTTTGTTTCTATTAAACATTTTCAGAAGAATACCAAATAATTAGCTTAAATAAATAAATCTTAAAATTTTACTTATTTTTGAAAATGCATGTCTAAAACCTATCTAGTACAAAAATGTAAAATGTTAGACATTTCAGCTTATTGTACAATTGTATCTTTCATTTCTTATTGCTTCCTATTAAGATTAAGATGTTTAAAATTTTTATAACAGAGGTAAATTTCGTTTTCATCCAAGCATAGGGGTAATTCAAATGGTGCTACCTGTTTAATTTTTTAATATTAATAGTAAATAGGTCTACTGAATTGTCTTCATTCTCTAAAACATTTGCTCCTACTTGGAAATTCTTTGAACTGCAATAGCATTTTATAATAGTTTCCCCTTCCTTATTTTTGCACACTTTAAGTATATGGCCATTTTTATTACAGCCTCTATAAACATTGTCTTTAAATGAACAATTAGTAGCAAAATGGTCCCCTAAACATCTATAACACCTGACATCAATTGATTTTTTGTTCATTTCAAAAGTTTTTTCCTTTATGTGTAACTTATTAACATCAGAACTCTGCCCTTGAATAGTGGACACATCTCTCCACACACATAAAACTCCACAGGCATTCATTTGCCTGAATAAGCTCAATTCTAAAGCTGACAACTATTTTCAAAGTTGCCACCATATGTCATGGCACAAAGGTGTTTGCTGATTGGATGCATGTTTGCAATTAGCATGAGTAGAGCTGATTTCATCTTCAATTTTTTCTCTGCTTTCTTACTCAAAGTCCCAATAAGAGACCGCTTGCTTTTAACGTCTCCTTAAGAAGGTTTCCTGTGAACTGAGAATCACAGGTGGTGTCAGAACATCCTGATCTGGATATAACTGGTTTTTTTCTGTCACAGCTGACAATTCTATCTCAAATATAGCTCCTATTTTACTTTTGAAATTTTATAACATTCAAAGTCATATATTTTCTTATATTATGATTTGTTAATGGCAACAGTGTTATAATATGGAACTAACCATCTCTTTAGTTAGCAAATTACAATAAATAAAACTGTTTATAACAATATATGTTTTGTTTCCTGGCAAAATTATATAATTCACAAAAATTTTTCTATGAAAATAAAACAGTTTTGCATTGGCTACTTCTTTCTTTATTTGTGGAAAAATCATTTTTAGTATTAGAAATATAAATATTACAACAAAATTGAATTTTGTTGTAATATTTTTTAATTTTTAGAAAAATAGGAATTGCCATGTGACCCCGCATATTTTTGTTCTACTTGTTTGCTGTGGACCTCATGTATGTTTTTCATTGTCATAAATAAAGTTAGTTGTGCCTGAGATGCTGTACAGTTGTGACGTGTGTATCCACTCACCTTTCATTGTGTATATATGTATAAAAGTGGTTGTTTTTAACATTTATAATATAAATAAAATATAATTTTTATTATAATATAAGATTTTCTCCTAAATCCTACAAAAAAAGGTTAAAAAACTAAATTTATTTATAAAATATATAATCCTTAAAAAAATCTGACATGAAAAATTTGAAAATTGTAGTTTACACATACACAATGAATCATTGTTTGTTTAATTTGTTCATTACAAAGAATTAATCTACAATTATATAAGTTTAACTGATAGTGTATATTTTTTATATTTTAAATTTTAATATAATTTATACTTAAAATTATACAAATATTTGCATTATTTTAATAAGATTTTAAAATAAATATGCTCCTGTTTTAATTTAAACATAAATGTTTAATATAAAAATAAAATTTTTTTAGACTGAAGTATCAAATGCATCATTATCAGCAAATTTAGATAATGCTGAAGGTGGTTTTGATGCAATTATGCAAGTTGTAGTTTGCAAGGTAATGTATTAATTATTTAGTAAACAATATTTTGAATTATAGTTATATTCTAATGTAAATTTATAAATGTTTAAATTAACTTTCTCTAAGATGTTACGATTAGAGCCATACATAACTGTGTACTTGAACATGATATGCATAAACAAATTTATTGTATATGTATATATGGCTGCCATATTGCCACCACATGGCACAAGTATACTTGAACACTGCCAATTTGAATCATGTCATCAACAGATGAAGACAATGCTCTTGCTTTAGTTTCTTTGGTTTCAATTTTAAAGAAAAAAAATCAATGGAAATATTGTAGTTTGTAGTGTAAAAACTAAAATAATATTATTCCTTAAAGCTGGAACTATCAATACTATACAATTGATGAAAAACTGACATTTCATACATTTCCAGCAATGCTATTGATGTAAACAAAAAGCAAACATTTTCAACCTCATTAAGGGCCAGCATTAGGCTTGTATAGAAGATTCTCCTTACTTTTTTTTATTTTTTTTTTCACCAAACTTTTGGAATTTCAAACAATTTTGAAAAAATTTAAAGTTCTGGAACAAGTTTTATTTAACCAACCAAAGCATCCAATTTCTATCTTTAAGTCATCAACCAGTGTCACTAATGTCAAAAGTTTTTGACAACATTAACCCAAAATAATTTCACAGAACACACAAATTATAGTACACAAATAATAAAATATTTTCTAATGTAGATACAGCAGCGTAAATCTGTTCTTAAAATGTATCTTCAAATAAAGAATTGTCTATAAGTGATTTCCAAGTATTGGAAAGCATTTCGACGACTGTACTATATATAGATATTCCTCTCTGTGAGTTCTTATGTATCTCCCATGTCTCCAGTATTCTCAGTTTTATCATTATCAGTTCAGACACCAATTAAGTGATAAGAAAAACTATGAATATTATGTGAAGTGAAATCTTTATTATGATGCCTGATAGCAAGTCATATATTAATGTTCAATTCAATCATACAACTAAAAAAATAATTAGTTATAGCAGCAAGAATGAGAATTAATTGTAAGGACAAGAAAGAGAATAAAATGAGAAGGAAAGTAAAGTCAAAGATGTTGCTACTCATGTGTAAACTTTTGAGCAATAATTTGGTTTGTGTATAAGTTTGTTGTCCAAACAACAAAACCTATCATCATTATACAGTGAGTCAAAACTCCCTTGCACCCTTTTCATTCCAAAAGTATAGAAGATATATTAATTTGTTAATGTAGTTGTTATGTATGTAACCTCCAGGGGATAACCCACACCGAATTGCCCCTTGACCTAGTTAGGTGACCCCATACCTCTGACCTTTGTCATGTTTCTTTGTCTCAAGTCAGTCGTGCGTTAGCTGTTGTAATACTTAGACCTGAGGCACAACGTTACATTTGTATTACCACAACATTACATTTCTATTATAATAAAGTTAATTATATATGTTAACAAGTAATCATTTATTTTACGGACACCACAATTGGCAACGATAAGATACAACAAGGATAAAATTGGCAACAAATTGGCAATAAGGGTAAAATTGGCAACAAGGACAAAAAGGATATAAAAATGAATGAACTTGCAGAATTAATTTCAACGCTAAATGTGTTCATCAAGAAACTACAGAGTCAGTCAGTGGAGACAAAACCAGAACTATTTGTTCAACGAGTTCTCCAAATGCAAGCCCTAACCTTTGAAACTTACAACAAAATGTCCGAGACCTTTAAAAACTATTCCCAACAACTGGATAACTTTTTCAAAATCAAAGGACTAACCGGAACAGATGCCATTACTGAAGAAGCTGAGGTAATGATATTTATCAATTGTCTTGGACCAAAACATTACCAGCTACTGATCAATCTGACAGCACCAGAAATACCCTCTAGGTGAACCTTTGCTGAATTAATGAAGTTGCTACAAAATCACTAATATCAAAAAGAAATATCCTAACAGAACAGCATAAATTTTTGTCCAGAGTACAACATAATGGTGAGTCCATTTCAAATTACGTGACTTCATTAAAACAACTCTCGAAAATTTTAGATTTCAAGTCTAGTTGTAACAATGCGATGAAGGCTCTGAAAGACATTACAAAAGAAGCATACCAGGACTGTTTCAACAAGTGGAAACACCGTTGGGATAAGTGTGTGTGTTGGGAAGGAGAGTACTTTGAAGGGGACCCAGACATGTAACTTCTACATAAAGTACATTTTGTTTTATGACGTCAGTCCACGTATTTTTTGAACAGATCTCATATTGCCACAAAGTTACATTTCTATTGTAATAAAGTTAATTATATATGTTAACAAGTAATCGTTTATTTTACAGACACAACAGTAGTTACATATGCATGCATGGAGAATTGAATGTGACAAAATAATTTTTAAGGTTACATATATTGTAAGTTATTAATGAACAGAGACAACATAAAAGTTACAATGACAAAGATAGAGCATAAATTCAACTACTCAAAACTGGGAAATGTTAATAAACACTGCACATATAACCAATATCCAGCAAGAAGAAATTACAAGAAAGAAAACATTTTCAACTATGTTTAAAGGGCATCATCAGGCTAACAGACCTTCATAGTTTGAATGTAGCTGTTGAAAAAAACAGCTTGAATCAAAAAGTTACTATGAATAGGTGATTGCTCTGTGAGAATCATGCGAGTATACATTGGTCCGTTAAAGGCAGTACATGGATAAATAACAACAATTATTTATTTACCATCACATGAATGGTAGTATACAGGATTCTTTTACGGATTCCAACTCTGAGTGTTACAGAATATCCAAAAATAGGTGCAAGGAATCAAGTAAATACAAAGTAAAGGAACCCGCTCACGACAATTAAGAAAAGACAGATGTATAATCTTGAGAAATATAAGAAAAGACAGATGTACAATGAATACTTATACTAAATTATAAACTTAAAAGAGTAAGGTAGAATATCAGAAAGTTTAGTATGATAGAAGAAGAGGTTATACAGAATACCCGGGTTTTCTTGTTGGTATTGATGCTCTTCTGGTAGGGAACCACTATAAATCATTTCCCGATGATCTTTAATTGGATCTCTTCAATTATCCTCCTTAAACAAGGGACGTTCGTCTATCTCTCCTTTGTTGACAGGGTCTTTTCTCCTTTGCAGGCCACTTTCATCTCCATTTGTCCTTCTAGATGGCAAGCAGGAGCGTAACTTTCACACGTCTGCCTTCACTGAGAGTCTGACCCAAGAATGACCCTCTTTATCCATTATAATAATCTCGGGGCTCACACTTCCCATTGTTACTGTGGTTCTTAGAAAGGGTTACCCCACCCGAGGAAGGAATGTTAGTTGAAAATTCGAGAAAACAAAAAGGGAAACAAAGAAGAAAGAAAATTTAAAACTAAACTTATATCAAAACATATACAGTAATATGGCATATTGCCACAGCTGTCCACATGTTAAAAAAGGGGTGACATGAGAGAGGGAAGATGATTATAAGTGTAATTTCCTTAGCTTGAGAGCAGTAAGATGGAAATTATATATATAAGATAACAAACTGATCCCACTTTAATAAGGTGATGTGGACCCAACAAAATATCTAAACCATAACAGACTGATCACTCTCAATAATGGGATATAAATACTGACATTATTATTTTCCACTCTTGGCCCTAATTTACACTTAAAGAACTCAGTGAAAGCACCTTAGTTCATTCAGTCTTTTCTCTCCTCCTCTCTTTATTCATTATCAGGAATTCTGAGATACTGTTCTTACAAGAGTCTGGTCCTTTCCATATATATATATTGGGTATACATATGTTGAATAGTTTATCCTCACTCAGAATAACAAGTCCTTTGTTCTTGTACATGATCACCTTCTTTTTTTCAATGATCTCTTCTGCCTTCTCAGTGGTTACTTCAGATGAGACAAAGCCCATCAAGGGAAAAGATGTTATCACATCAGCTCTCTCATTCTTATACCTTCCTATCTATCATCATCTCATCTCCACCAATCAGGGCATATCACAAAGATGACCTGGTTGATCCTATTCAGATGTGCATCTGACAAACAAAAACCATTACAGTATTGCCTCTGGCATTAAGCTGTAATGAGGCATTGCAATGGCCAAGGGTGAGAACAAAAGAATATACAGTACTTCCAAATATGGAACAGAAGTACTATACAAGATTAAACTTTATACATTGACTTCCATGCAGGGGGGAAGAGTCTATATCTATAAAGTTGTTAGCTGCATTTTTTCTTGTGGCTTTGTAAATTTCTAATTGTTCTGAATAGCTAAGCTGTTTTTAGTGGGAGAAGCTATGTAAGAGGCATGCTCAGTCAAATGATGGTTTTTATACAAAATTAAATTTTATGATATCCCATAGAATTTAATCTATATCTATATATATATATATAAATGGACATGTATGTCCCTACATTTCACTTTTTCGCCAAAACTACACATCGCACGTGAATGGTGTTTGTATGTGGTGGTAGCCCCAAGTCTCCATTTGTGCATAGGGGTGGTTGCGTCTCGATAGCTATAAGGGTGCGGGAGATATGAGGCTGAAAGTGGTTGAAAGTGGCTTTCTATTTCGAATGTTTTGTTCGAATTTGTTCGAATTAAATTCGAACATAAAATTCGAATTGGTTCGATTATAGAACGATTGCATTTACAATATCGTACTGCAGTATTCCAATGAAATGACTTGAC